CTCTCTTCACGGTATGGCTCGGGTATGGCCCGGTTCCTGTACGCCAGTGGAAAAGCACCATTAGAGAAGGAGGAAGCCCCTCACCCTCCTCTGCCCCTCCCCCCCCCACCCTCCTCTGCCCCTCCCCCCCCCACCCTCCTCTGCCCCTCCCCTGGCCTGTAGGCCTTGGCGGTCACATGACATTCAAATATCTCCTCCCTCATGCTTTGGGGGACATCAATCACTCCTGTTCGTCTGAGTCTGAGGGTGCTTTTTCCACCGCACTATGTACAGTACTTTTGGTACTTTTTCTTTTCCATTGACTTCCAGTCAAGTACCAGTACCAAACGTTCCAGTACCCAACGCGTCAAACCAGCTGGTGACTTCTTTGGTACTTCAGTACTTGTCTTAAGAACATATACAACAAAAAGATCCGCATGTGACAAGAAATGAAAAAGTATTTTGTTGAATATACTAACACAGCAGGCATATAGCATGCTGTCCCAGCCATGTGATTTGGTGACAAATGCAGCAATGTCATTTTGTTGTAGTAATTATTGGGGTATTTATAAAACAAGTTCATAAATTGCTCACAAACCCGTCTTCCACTGATTTAAACAGCAAGGTTGAAAATGATTATGATTGTCTCGGAAAATGCATGCAAAAACAGCAGAGGTAAAACTTTGATTTTTAAACATATATTAGATAATCTATAAAAGGAATAATAATTAAAATTCCAAAGCTTGATAAGTTTTTTTTTCTATGAACAGAGTAAAAATAATTTAGCAAAACTTGAACCCCCTCCACTTTAATGTCAGTATACAGAATTGAAAGTAAGAAAAAGCCTGATCTTAATCTAGCTGACTAGCGATGTAAGGACTGCATGTGCATAACATGCGATGTTGGTATTAATATCGGACATCGTCCAGCCATATAATATACTACAGCCATTTTTCAAATTCATTACAAAATGCCCCGCCTTGTGTTGTGATGTCATTAAGTGCCGGTACCAGTTTTTGCGTCAGTGGAAACCAATACCTAGAAGTACTGTACTTTTGCTACGGTGCGGTGGAAAACGCCCTCAGTGAAGCTTAATTTGTCAGCCTGAATTCTGGGTGGAGGGTGTTAATTGGGCCATCTTCAGTTTGCCCTCCTCCCAATTATGTAATCTATGCACAGTTTACTGTGCCCTCAGCTGGACCAGGTCTGTGATGTCGATGTTGTGAGCAGACCTCTGGAGAAGACCGTACGCCCTAAGACAGGCAGTGCAGGCAAGGGAAGCCAGTGTAATGAGCAAGAAGTTCAGTGACGACAAAGAGCTGGAAGCTACAGGTGGTGGGGGCCGCAGGCGTCTGACCCCAGACCCTCATTCTCTCCCCCCCAACACTCGAATGTGCGTCTGGCCTGTGCTTATCTGCCCCCCTCCCTGATTTGTTTTATTTTCTCATTTGGTCAGGCCCCAAAGTGCTGCACAGATCAAGCATAGATCAATGGAGCCCCCCCCTCCCCCCAAAGGTGCTCGTCTGGGGGCTGTCAGACTGGACAGGACAGGATGCTTCTCGCTTGCATTCCAGTTGTTGTGCTTCCCAGGGGGGCTGCAGCACTTTGAAAAGCAGGAAAGAGACATTCCAGATCTTTCCTTCCTTCCCCCAGCTCTCTAACTGCCTGTGGGGGGGGACGTGCTGACTCTGCATCATGGGAAAGCCGGGCCGCTGGGAGCAGTTTTCCCTTGATGACCGTGAGCCGTTTCTGCTTCATGGCCGGTGCGTCCTGCTCTCACACGCCTCGCCCCAATCGCGTGCACAAACACAGCCTTTCTGTGCCCCGGACTGCAAGCCCCAGCCCTCATCGTTTGCATTTCTGATCTGTTTAGCAGATGCCCTCATCCTGATGGACATATAATTCGTGATCCCATCTTCGGTCATTTTCGGCCGAATGTATATTTTCAGAGGCTGGTCTAGGTTGGCTCACTCAGGCATTTCGGTCAGAGACCCTTCGACCTTGTCCAGTTCGCCCCCCCCCCCAAGAGTTAAGGTACCTTCCATTCCCTGTTTGAGCGTTCGGCTCACTTTGAACAAACTTTACGAAGAACATCAAGGGCGTGTTTGCGTGTTCAGTTATTCCAGCCGGTTTCACTTGCCAGGGAAATGTTGGACTCCTTTGCCATCCATATATTCTGCTTGCCCGCGCAGTGAGAGTACATAACACCAGGATTCTATGCCCGCATGTGCCAGCATGTCCTGCATTTGGAGTGAGCTGATTCAAACGGTGATTCAAATTACACCATTCAGGATATGTAATCTCACCCTGGAAGGTACCCACCTTCGCGGTTAGATTTCAGTGTGATGACGACGACGACGACGACGACGATGATGTGTCTACGCTGACGGAATGGACGTGCGATAGGGACACTGAACCTGTGCTGAGTCTGTCACAGGAGAAGAAGGCTATGCTAGAGATGAATTCGCCACACGTAGCATCTGTTCTGCCAGTGACCCAGCTGACCTTCTGCGGGCAGCGGTGTTCTAGACACTCTGACGTTCAACGGTGAAACGGTACCTGTGAGAGGTCAGGCTTCCCCCCGAATCGGGCGGCCTTCAGCCCCTCCCTGCCTTTTTTGTTCCACGGCCTCCAAATTAGAAGCCCTTTATCATCTGCTGTGACGACAGCTTTGGCGTGACATAGTGCTGTGAGCGGTTGGCGCTGTCACCTCCCGCAGAGGCATGTAATTGGTATGGGAAGCAATTTCCCCTGTCACTACCACATACCGCCTCCCCCGCCCACAGACACACACACACACGCACGCACGTACACACACACACACACACCCAGCAGTGCCGGAATGTCTTCAGAAAGGAATCTGCCAATCAAAGAAGGGCAGCAAGGCCCATGAAATTCAGCTTTGGGAATCGGGGAATAGAGGACAGAGAGAGAAAGATATGAAAAAGGGAGGGGAGGACATGAAAAGAGAGATCAGCGAGTCGTCGTGTCTATAAATGTGTTTGTGTTGTAGCAACAGTAACATTATAAATGCTGGTGGCAGTATCTGTTTTCTATTCTCTCATTTCTGACCTTACTGTGCTGCCAAAATACAATTCATTCTTGAAAAATAAATTAACACGGAACAGAGGTAGCGGGGGATGTGGGAAAATTATGCAATTGGATAATCGGCCTTTATTTATCTCTGCTACCTTTTCTCCTCCCCCACCGTCATGTGATCAACACCCCGCAGAGACGTGCCAGCCCCCTAGTGCTGTTTCACTGTGGGCATAAGATGGCAAATAACAGGCCCCCACTCAGTGCCTTTAGGTATTTTATGTGGGCAGAGATACAGTGTTGACATAAGACATCATGGCAAACAGTCAGCTGATCGAGCAGACACTGTTAATTAATGACTCAGGCCTTGAAAACGAACTGCTGTGGGGCTCATCAACAAGGAGAAATGAAAGGAGTAAAGTGTTTGTGGACTCCAACACATCACACATACACGTTAGGCGTTTTCACACCGAGGTTCTGGAACCTGGTACCAGTTTCCGAGTCCCTGGGTTGTCCCAACCTGGGGGTTCTAAAACTCCTGGCCACTTCTGTGTGTCACTTTCACACCGCCAACAGAACTGGGCCCAAAATATTAAGTACGTGTAGGTTAAACTTAACAAATAACTTGAAACTTCACCATCGCCAGAAAAGAATGGAGGATGAACGAGTTCTTTTCTCAGTTATTTGTTTGTTATTAGAGGGATTGGCAGTTGTATGACGGTGCACTGTTGGGTTCTGGGTTCTGTATGTGGAGTTTGCATGTTCTCCCCATGTCATCATGGGTTTTTTTGGGTGCTCTGGTTCTCTCAGAATAAAAAACAATTTAACGTATTCCACTAAAAAGTGCTGGCAAGTGTCACTGCCGGTTTTGCTGATTATGTATTTTCTCCGCACTTCCATGTAACTTCCAAGTTTGCGGCAGTGCTTGGAGCCAACCAATCAGTAACCTATCACTGTAAGCACCTCCCCTGTAGTTCGTGTTCGAATGAAAAGTACCGAGTCTGGAGTAGGTACTAAAAAGGGTCCTGGAACTGCCTCTGAGGAACTACATTCGTGCTGAGTTCCTGTAGTCCCTGGTTCCGGAAAAAGGTTCTGGTTCGTGCTGAGTTCCTGCAGTGTGAAAGCTCCTTTACCTGAGCCAGTGAGGCACTTTGAACCTGCCCTACAAAGCAGCTGTGACCAGGCTGCAAGCCAAAGGAATGTCAGCTTCTGCACACTTCAGGTTCTCCTGCCAGTCGTCTTCCAGAGACAGAAAAAAAAGAGAAAGCAGTGAGCCACGTATCAGGAAGAATCTTCTTAAGCATTCAGCTGCACCATGTAATAGCACATTAATACCCCCATCAACACAGTCAGGAGATCACAGGTCACCTGGCAGGTCAGACTCTAGCAGTCGATACATGAGGCTCCTTCTGAAGGCTTCTCTTCCTTGAAAGCCTTGGGTTTACAAACCCAGAATGATATGCATTATATTTATGAAATTCAATCAAAATAAATGATATTCCTACAGGGAAGGCTTTGGTTTTGTTCATTTATCCTTCTCCCAGCCATCGGTCCAATATCCTTGTTGTAATTTGTGCCGTGATCGAAACATAAGAGCTTCCCTTGGGAAAGACGTCATGAATATTTATGGTGGAAGAAAACTCTGAAGAGCATTTCTCACGCCGAAAGAGATGAAATTCCACCAATTAAACAGCAGCCAATCAGAGGCCGTGTGACAGCCGATGATGCAAAAAAGCAGTATTCAGCCGGGCAGCAAAAACAGCCGACCGGCCTCTCACAGAGCATGCAAAATATTTAGCCTGGGCTGTTTTCCCAACAAAGCGATCTCAGGATAAGATACACAGGGGCGGGTGAGCGGGCAGGGTTTCGACACGTCAGCCTGTTTGCCTGTCCTCGCAGGGGTGGGTATCAGCCTGCATAGGCCTGTGTCTATGTACGGTGAGAGCTTAAGAAAATATCTTACAGGGAATACTAACGATCATCATTCAAATGAAACGGGAAATGCAGTCTTACCCTTTTTATATCTTGTTTACAGACAAAAGGAACAAGTTGTTACTGATCAAGCTTGAGATTTCAAGATGGGATCAAGGATACCTTTTAGAATTTAACATCCATCCATCCATCCATCCATCCATCCGTCAGTCCATTCAGTTTTGTAACTCCAGTTATCCTCAGCATGTTTTTGGACTGTGGGGGGAAACCAGAGAACTCAGAGGAAGCCCCACAGAGAAAACCCTGGTCCCAGAGGTGTGAGGGAACAGTACTAACCACCACACCAATTTGGCATATTTAATATAGCTGTTATGCTTAAATAACTTTGTTTATTTTTATTAATTTTATTTTATTTTTACTAGAGCTGGTGTAGATAAACAAGGATATGAGAATCCTGTGAACTATCTTGACGACAGATCCTTAAACACATATTTAACCAGTTAGACTAATGACAAAGTAGCAGATATTGATTTACCCAGGAAGTCATGTTAGGCATAAGGAGGTTGTGCCAGTGCCAGCCTGAAGTGGAAGGTCCACAGCGACCTGCGGGAAGATATAGGGGAATTCAGGGGCAAAGCTACCAGCTGAAGCTGTTTCTGATGGAGACGCCAGTCAGAGCTTGCTAGGTTTGTAATTGTTGTCTGTTAGATTTTTATTGCAGAATGAGGTCAATATGTCCCAGGCCCATCAATTACCCACTGCAGGCTTTACTGAGCTGGATCTAAACTGGGCAGCTGAGCCAGCTACTGAGAAGCAGTGTGTTGACATACCTTTCGGCATGGCAGGCCTACCTTGTTGACATACCTTTCGGCATGGCAGGCCTACCTTGCATTCCTTTGAGAAAACATCGAACGTCCGTGAAGGAACGGCATTTTGAGGACGCATTCTCAAAACAACCTATTCCATTCAACAGCTAAGTAGCTGTAACGCTATGTGGATTATTTTAATCGGATTCGAGTTTTGAATGGTGTAATCTTAGAAAAGTTCACAAGTGGTCTCAACAATGTTGGAGGGAATGATTGACAGGCCAAGTTATTAGTGAATTTCAAAGCCTGCCCCATTTGACACCCCCCCCCATTCTCAGCATTGTTTTCTGTTTGTCGTGCCTTTAAAAATGCATTTTCTCATGTAGTCACGAAGCAGCTCTCTGAAAAATGACTTGAGGAGGTGTCGTTTGGGTAATGACACTGAAAATAAAGGGGGGGGGGGATCGTACACCGCATGCATCGCTGACATAGCTGGTAGCTGAGAAGTCATCATAGGCTAGGCTGGGATCCACAGGTATTCATTAACCACAGGCCATTTCGAGGAACAGGTAACACAAACGGGTCCACAACAGTCATTTTCTGGGCAATTTAACCTTTCTGTGTGGAGGAAACGTGAAATCACTGACTCCATTGACCTTAAGTAAATCGCATTCTACAGAATCCCTGTGGTCCCTCCCTGGGAGATTCAACCAAATGAAACACTTGATAACAGTGAGAGATGTACGCTGAGTTTTACAGCTGGGTTACTTCATCAGGCCTCTGTCTCACTGATTTTGTGTCAATAGTATCCAACCATCACAGACTATCGAACTTGGCACAGAATGTAGTGTGTCCTTCTAGTTTCTGGTAAGAACCAAGGTCTGCTTCTCTTATAGTTTATAATGCATGGATCTAGACCTGACTCCCAAAAGTGTGTTGGGTCACATGACCTGTCACCAACAAAATGAGCTACAAACAGGTATTTATAGATGCAATACGTTGTTATGGTTACATGCTATTGTTACAGGCTGGTGAATGATTTGCAATCAACCATGTGTTACTGAAGAACAGTGAGAGCCTCTCTGAGCCTCAAACAGGGTTGTGCAAAATCTATCATTTATATATAAATTGTGCTCCATTCCATTCATGAATCCTCCCTAGATTTTGCTGACTGAAATTTCTCAGGGGGGTCAAACTCATGATTTTACTATCTGGCTTTCTGCCTCATGAGTCACAAACAAATTTCCATTGGTCGTTTTATCCAAACACATTATTTTACTATGTGGCTATGTGCCTGAGTAACTCATTGTCAAATATTATTACATTTCATGGATCTAAGGTTTTATCCCTTATATTGTGGCCTAAAAATTTTCCTGCTACACTGAAAATTCCCTCATCTGGTGCAGAGACTGCTGCTATAGCAGGGTATTTGCAGGCTAGTTGTGCTGTCGGACGGGTCGGCATCCTCTGCTGAACATGGGTGATTCAGGTACACAGTGACATCATGGGAAACTTTGCAGAAGGTGAGGGGTTAGTGTGACTTTCCTGAAGAGTTTGGGGACTTTCTTTGGTTGGGACATACAGTCATTATAGCCAGTGTTGAGTCTTATGAGGAGATTTTTCTTTACTTTTTCTATGAGAAGATTCGTCATGGTACACAAAATGATAGTTAAATTATTTGTATTGTAGGTCACACTTCAAATCTTGCATTCTTTCATTCTGAGTTGAATGCCATTTGTTGTGTATGTGTTTTCAACCACAATTCAAATTCAGGAAATTGACTGAATTTGTTTATTCATGGAAGAAGGACTCCTACCCAGTAAGAAGAGAAGTCACGTCATGTGCCTCAATCGGACCTCTGGAGTAGTGTCACCACAGACAGGTGACAGGAATGATGGGCAGCGCCTGAACACAACCAAGAGCAGCCATCCAGCATTTTCACAATGAGCTGAAAAATTGCAAACATAATTGCGTGTTATAACCGACCAGCACCTACTGGGGAGAATCTGTCAGGTCAGAAAGAATTTGGAGGTTCATCATACCTGCATTGCGAGGGAGCATCAGGTACGGCGATACGGCCATGTGGCGCGTCTCCCTGACGGTGATCCGGCTCGCAGGATCCTCATTGCTGAGGATACGAGCGGCTGGACCAGGCTGAGGGGACGCCCACGTAACACCTGGCTGCGGCCCATGGATGGCCATTTCCGGAGGGTGGGACTGGATCACATGTCGGCCTGGGGGGGGGGGGGTCGCCACCTGGGATCCCGTGCTGTTTGTTGTGTGTCAGTGCTGGCTCCCCCACCTGACCTGACTATCCAGGTGGTGCCTAAAACGGAGGAAAATGGAGCTTAACAGAGTGAGCTGGCTACTATCAAACCGATTCCTGAGAGAAGCCTCTATGTCCAATGAATGAGAAAATACAACTTATATGAGTTACTGTACGGCGCTTCAGACTAGTCACCACAGGCCATTGAGATGTCAGTTATTCAGAATGTGTAACCTTGCGCTCAGCCAGAGAGGAATGGCCACTTTAATTTAAACTATCACGCAGATTTTCAATCAGGCCATTTTCACAATGGGCAGAAAAATTACAGACGCAATTGTTCTGTGTTATAATTGTATTCAGCTTCAGAGTCTTCTCCTGAGTGGTTGACATTCTCCTTTTTCAGCTCTTAAACTAGCATATTTGGATGTAAGAATGTAGGTATGACTTTTAAATAATTAAATGTCAAGTCCTGCAAAGGCAGGACAAATGAGCAGGCATTGTCTTCTGGGTGCTGTGGGCCTCAGGAAAAGGGTGTAAATCCTGCAGGTCACAGTGACCTGAAACAGACGTATTAGACAATCAGAAACGAGGTCTTTGGGTCACAGATAGACTGACTTTTCTTTAAATTCCCTTAAGCTTCTTTTGGCTCCCAGTGGTGCTGTTTTGATAATGGAGGAGGATGTGAGACTTTAAAGGAGTTACCTCTTCTGTGCCAAAGAACCTCTGTCTTAGACAGAAGGACATTATGCCACGTTGGCTTCTGTTGTGAAGAGGTGAAGGTTGGGCTGGAGTCCAGGCAAGGTGAAGAGAGGAGAAGCTCAACAGAGGAGGGGGGGGGGGGTGGGGGGGTGGGGGGGAGACCAGAGAGATGCAAAGGGGGAGAGAAAGATCAAAGGCCTTCTTAGTAGACTTTGGAAGTCCAGCACTGCCCTTTAAATGTCAAAGTCAGCCAGAAAAATCCAAGTGCAGTCAGCAACCATGCTGTGAAAGGACCTATTGTTTCTCTGTCACCTGAAATAAGCTTAACATGGACCTCAGAGAAAAAAAACAAGATCCTCTCGTGGCAGACAAGACTGACTGCATAACGTTAAAAATGATTATGAAATCTGTTAAAGTGCATGTTTGGAGTTTGGGCTTCATTTGTTTATTCATGTGTGTCTTTTGGGTTCTTCCCACCACGTTGTTCTGTTCCTGGGTATAAACTGGGTCTCCCCACAGGAGAGCACATGTCCAATCAGGCAACTTCTCAAGAAATGAACTTCCTGGCAGTGGAAGAGAAAAAGTGCAGCTTGACTGGAGATACAGTAATGCATCTTCGACTAGAACCACAGTGGAGAGGACCAGCTCACCAAGAGTTGATCTGGCTACCTAATAACTGCAGGAGAAATTCAGAAGATGGATGTGTATTTGCATGGGAGCATAGAACTGGGATGGTCCTGTCAAATGGTTTGACAAAATTACTGCATTGACGCCCTAGGCAAGAAGCAGCTGCGATTGTGTAGGGTGATGACGACCCTCTTTATCACAGCCCCCACCGTACTGGGCCTGAGAATGGATCGACATTTTCTTTTCTGCTCGAGTTCACAAACTGCCGTTCCTTGTTGCAGAATTCCATATTGTGGGAGAACATGCCAGATCTTGCCAAGACAGTGGATGTGAAGACTTCATTGAGCATTAGGAGATGTCTCTCTACATGAAACATCTCACCTGACAGCAGCAATTTGTGCCGCAGGCTGACAGAAGCTCCCGTCTGAGAGGACAGTTTGTGATTATTCCTTCTCAACCGCGGATTCCCACTTTTTCGTATCTTCTTCTTGGTGATCAAACAGAATCAGTCAGGCTCTTGCCGTGGTTGACTGCTCACATGAGCTGTGTTTTGGGGGAAGGCCTGCAGGTGTTTTTTGTGTTTTAAAGGAGAAGACCGTTCGTTATAACAGTTCCCATTTCCCGTACACCGCAGTGCCACTCCTATGCATCTGCCAGTACATGGGGTGTGTTTGCTGTCTTCCTGTCCTCATTGGTCGTTTTATCCAAGGTCCTTGAGGGCTTTAAAGATAAAAAAACACCAGGGAAATTGTACAACATGACTATCCGTCCTTGATAAAGAAGATGGCTGTTTGGTTTCTAGAATGAACTAACCTGCCAAAGTTTAAATTGAAATATTCTGCCAGCTTTAGTTATAAATGCAATTGCACATGGTCGATTTAGAGAATATCATATCATGACCGTTAACAGTATCCTAACATGCAATATCAGATTTTTACCAGACTTGTTAGTGTCTTTGGTTTGTTTGTAGTTTGTTTGCCTCTCGAAAAAAGAATATCGCTATGGATGTACTAAAATATTCTTTTAATGTGGTTTGACTAGTTCGTGTTTCTCGTTTGTTTGTTTCTCGGAAAAAAAAGAATCTCTCTCCAAATCTGCTAAAATATTATAAAGCAACAACGCACAACAGCAGCGTGTTTGTGGAGGCTGCCACGTTTGTCCCGAGATGTGTATCTCCAGCAGGAGATTGGTTGGATGTGACGTCACGCACCTGGGAATTTCCGACTTCGCCGACATAATCGAACGCGCCATTAGCACTGGTCCACACTTAAAAGACTAAAGAATGTCCCCCTATGATTAATAAAGTATTATGATATTTATTGTCTCTAATCTTACTTGGTCTCTCTAGAACTACACTCACCTGCAGTACATCTCTCACTGTTACACTCACCTGCAGTGTTGGAGCTCAGTGAAGCTACAAGGACAGATTGAATGCCAGGAATGATTCTATCCTAATCTAGCATCCTTAACCACAGATCTGGTATGGCATCCCACTCATCCACAACTACAGCAGGATGACTACAAAGAATAAAATCAAGGTGAAGGACTCTGTAATCAGGAAGTAAAACTTCAAACCCCCTTGTACTTAAACATCACCTCCAGACCCTGGTGAACTTCTGCCCCAAACTCCCACTGCCCTAAACTCCATTCAATATAGATGTGGCTTCAGTTCTGCTGCTGCTATATTTATGAAGGTCTTTTTTTAGTGTCCCACGAACACCTGCTTTTATATAATAGTCCCGCATGGCAAACTGAGAGGAAGGAAAGAGAGCCGGAAAGCAGGCCGGCATCTGAACAAGCCAGACGGTAATTACAGTACGTTAAGAGTCCAAATTACTCCTAGCAGATGGCTTAGCTGCACTAGTTGTCCTAATACTCCGTGAGCATTGTAATCCCCTCAGACTTCGATGGCGTCCACAGTCAGGGTCTTTGACGACTGTCTTTTTTTTTCAGATGTCAAATTACCATTTAAAAAGCGTCTGAAAAGCTCATAACATAAAGCCAGACGAGCAACAGCAAGAAGGACGGACCTCGAAAGGAGGCTGTCAGTCTTGTTTTGTTTCACAATCCCGGTTGTGAAGGACAGTTGAATCATGGCAGATTTTGTTTGGATTTTCTATGTACGTGTCTTGATTTTGTTGCTTTGGGAGATCGCGAGGCATGGGGGGGGGCTAATCCTGGAGGCCGTTTTTCAGAGCCTGTTTAATAGTGACAAAAACAGCCAGTGAAGTGTGACCAGGACAAAAGTCCCGGGTCCCCAACGGGGCCGCGTGAGAAGCGGCGGGGCACCTCGAGTTGCCTTTTCCTCTCTGTCGCTGATATAAATATTCAGCAATTAGCAGGGGAAGCAGGAGATTGAAGCATATTCACCGCAGGTCAGAGTGCTGCATGCTAGCAGAGCTTTGGCACCAGCGGCCCCGAAGAGCAACGGTGCAAGACGGAAAAAAAACACCCAAGAAAAAAATCACACTGAGGCTGTCAATTACACAGGAGTTCATTTAGATTTCAGGCAAGGCAACCCTTACACGGCGATTCCTCCATCATTCCTGTCGTCTCCATGGAAACAACCTAGTTCAGTCTGGCGCAAAGGCTGTTGCGGCAATGCTTACGGGTTGGAAATGAAACAAAAAGCTGGGGCAGTACGCCAGGGATTATATCACATTCAAGCCCACCACCCAGTTCAAAAAGGATCCAGGCATCAATGCCACACATCAAAGACCAAGTTGTGTTTTCTTTAGTGTCATTCTCTGATTTGGGGGGGGGGGTCACATTCAACTCAGCTAGAATTAATTTCCTTTTTCAGGAATCTGTATCCGGAAGCGAGATACCAGCTGGTGCAAAGAAGAGGAATACGAGGAACACATGAGCTGCGATGGCGGACACAGCCGTGTGACGGGGAGTGACAGGAGCAGAAGGGATGAGATATGGACACAGAGGCATTGTGGGAAAACATGAACAGGATAGAAACACGAGACTGTGACATAAATATGGTAATATGACATGAACCTAGAGGTGATGGAAACACGTGTGGAAGTGTGAGTGAAGGTAAACACATTGATTTGTCGTGGGCATCAGTGGTCTTTCAGGGAGAAAAGATTGTGATCTTTGTCACCTGGGATAAAACAACAGTCCCTGAGCCCCGTGTCACTAAGACATTTATGGACCCTTATTTGGACACACAAAACCATGATTACTCAGGATTCCCCAGCCACCATGCTGGGCTAACACAGCTTCTTAATGTTTTTTTCAGAGCTGTCATCAAAGTTTCCAGAGATCATACCTCATGTTAGGAAACACCGTGCATTGTAGGAAATCTCAGCATGACCTCATCTCTGAATGTCCACCATGAAGTAATCTGTAGTTTGTGATTCAGTAACTGGCTTCACCTACTTCACTCAACTCACTTAGATGATACGCTTATCTGACATCAGCGTATTATTGATGAAGCATACTTTTCATAAATATATCCTTCACGATTCAGCATATCTTAAACACTATTTTGTCTTGCACCGTCCTCATATTATTAGTAGTAATTGACACGTGTGTGTATCTATTTCCATGAGTGAAGTGGCTGACTGACAGAGCACATGGTTCTCAGTTTGGGTTTCACAGAGGGGTGAGGTGAAGCTCCACTCTTATTTACAGGCCTGACACCTCTTAGGAGATCAAAAAGTCTGGTGACAGGGAAGCCCCAGCGGGGGGAACCATGAGGAGGCCAAGCTGAGAGAGGCTGCTCTCCGCTGGGTGTAAATATCACCCAGCGGTGGGGATACATTTGAGGAGAGCGTCTGCATCCCTGAGTCCTGTGTGGACGCTTCTACCTGATCCAAGAAGGAGTCAGACCTGCATCTCAGACTGCTGGCTGCTTTGGCCCAGTCTTTTCACACATCAACTATGTACTGCTGGGTTTCTTCCATAATTACCTCATTAATTTTGACCTTTCTCCTACTGTAGTCTAAATATTAGCATTGAATAATATTAAATAAGTAGCCAGTGATAAAATGTGTGATTTTTAATAATCTGTTTCTCTGTTTCCATATCTCATAAATTAAAGCACCATTATGTACAAGAAATTGACATCATCTTGTTATTTTGAGTTCCTCCCCTAAGGCTGAAAACTAACAAGGTAATAAACTCACAAGCCTAGTGAGCTGAGCACTGCTTGCACAGATGCCTGTAGCTACACAGACTGTGTTTTGGGGCTACAATGCACAGTCATCATGTGATGTGTCCAGGAAGTGTGGTCTGTGCCCTTAAGTGACCTCGCCGTCCCAGTGGGAGATAAGGAACTACGGAACTGCCTCGGCACATACGGCAACACATTTATCTTCTCTAGGACCAGACTGAATGAAAGGCCTGTTCCCAAATGGAACTCTTCCTGTTTTTTTTTCTGTATTGCTTTTCTCTGGCCTTCTGTACAGGTGCTATTCCAGCCCCCATTCTGAGTTCCTCCCCCCCAGGATGCTTTTGATGGGGACGCCATACAGAATCATGTGACACAGAGGTGCGAGGAGAAGCTGGTGCGTTGTAAATGTCCCTGTCCTGATGGCAGATGAGATCAAGGCAGGTACTAGATAAAACAGGCAAATGGGAGCCCAAAATAAACCCAAAGTACTGTTGTTGGAGTTTTAAAGATAACTGAAATGGGCCAGCTCTGGGCTGGTCACTGGGAAATGAAAAAAATGAAACGATCCTTTATTTGCCATTTGCATGGGAATGTTTCTTTTTACATATCCTGCCTTTCTCTATTGTGACATAAACACAGCTAAGAGTGAAGTCTGAACACAGGGTCATGCCATTTATCCGGCACCCCGGGGGCATTTGGGAGGCTTAATGGTCTTTGCTCAAGGGCCCAAAGGAAATGTAGCAATTCTGCCAAGGCTCGAACCAGCGACCTTCTGATCAGGGGGCTTAACCCCCTGAGCCACACACCACTCTCCGCAAACTGCTATGTTACCTTTAATAAAGTAGCAATGAAGAAACAGATTGATAGCAGCTGGAGACACGCTAATGTTTATGCCGTTGAAATGATTTACATTTCCTAAAATCAGAATGAAAGTTAGGGTATTATAGCAAGCATTACAATTGCACTAAAATGACAAGATCACTCAGCATGACATCCCAGTGTAAAGACGACCAGCATAACTGGACGCTAGCAGACGCATTTCAATGTTCGGTGTCAGGTTCCCCCTGCATTTTTCTACATGACGATCACAGGCAGTCTTGACTGGTGCAGTTCACTGATGTTACTTAGATTGTAGTCAGCCATGGGTCTGTCCTGCTATCCTGATGGCCGGAGATAGAGAGATAGAGAAAGAGATAGACGAGTTCCAGTAGTAGCAACCAGGTTTCAGACGCTAACAGGAAAACACAAGGTCTGGGCGCCAAAACACAGAGCTCGTTGGGAGAAGAGTTACAGGATTGGTCAAAGGGTGATGTGCTCTCCATGGTCAGATTTACACGCCTAGTCAAAGGCTGATGCCAGTTTAATTACATTTCCAAAATCATGTTTTGGGAAATGTTTTGCAGATAAAGGACAAAGCCTGTTTGCTTTTCTCAGAAGCATCATTTAAAAATGCACTAGGGCAGGGAGGCCCAATCCTGCTCCTAGAGAACTTAGGTACAGCCCTAAGGTACAGATAATCAGACACTAAAGTTATATCTCAATATGAGAACCTCTAATACTCTAATACTTAGGTGATACTGAAGGGCCTGATTATCTGTATCAGGTGTGTTAAATTAGGGCCGTACCTAAGCTCTGCAGGGTGGTAGCTCTCCAGGGGCAGGATTGCACAGCCCTGTCCTAGTGCGTGCCACTGCATTTTTCATTGCAAGATTAAAATATGCAGAAGATTGTTTTTCTGCTGTCAGATAATGCGGAACTTACATGTTCTATTTATCTGTACTGTTAGCCCAGAGTGTGTCTCTGGGTGAAGTTGTGGCTCAGCAGAAGACGCAAGCTCATACTGTGTGGATGAGCCACCAAGTATCACTAAAAAAAACCCATATTCACCTATTCAGCCATCCTCAGCGATCCACACATACACCATGTATCTGAGAATGGGTGACTGTACTGTATCTGAGTATGACCGACTACATGCAAGTCGCAGTGTTATTAGGTCAAATTTCTCCTGAACGTCAATCAAGGCAGCAGGTGGACGGCGAGACATTAATAAACAATTGTCACTTTCATCACCAGAGATTAATTATTTATAGACATGTTAAATATAGCATATTTTATCAAGAGGTGCAGCAACAGGACAGACAGGGTAGGCAACAGCCTGGGGCCCGAATTTGGATGGGGCTCCTGAAGGCCGTTGATTACGTAACACATTGCATCAATAAATCTGCTGTATTTGTGTATTCAATTTTTCACAAAAGTGAAAACCGAGGTCTTTTGTTTATTAAAAATGCTAAATCCACCCCCACCCAGCAAATTTTACTGAGTACCCATTTTGTTAACAATTTATTAAACCTCCTCCCACCCCCCGCTGAGAGAGCCCCCCCGGTTAGGACACCATGCATCATGAATAACTTTGGAAAGGGATGAATTTCACCCAAAGAAATATAAAGTGGAATTTTACCCAACAGCTCAATAGCTCTATCCGAGCGGCACTCAAATGAACTGTGTAAAACATAAAACTCAGATAGTGCCACAGAATTTTCTATGGATGTGCCCTTGCTCACCTACAGGAAGCTCCAAGAAGATCAATTGAAAAAACAGGGTAATTAACCCTGATTTATGAAGACTGAGAACGGTTCAAGGCTGCCGTTACCAGACAATAACTAGGGCTATTTACACTGCTATTTGTTTCGTGATCTGGATTTAGATTTGCATAAAGATCTAAATCTTTTTGAAAGAGTAAAAAGGAATACAAAATGAAATGCACAAACCTCTAAACGTGTGGCAAGTGAGTACCAGCCACACTCGATGCCAATGAAAAGCCTGAAGCATATTCAGTTTACATTTCAAGTGGTAAGTGGAGATATTTCAATTCACTTTGTCCTATAATTTGACATTAATTATTATTTTGGATTAGTTATCGTAGGCAAGGTGAATCCTTCTTCAAATGTAAGTAGCCTACTGGTATATCAAGCAACCAAAGTCATTGACTTGAGAAATTAAAAGTCCTGTCAAAAATTAATACTGTAGGGGCTCCTACTATTTAGACAGAATTCATTGTCTTACCTTTTGCTCATGCGTGCAGGATGTCGTGGTTGGTGACGCATGCCCAAGGAGGGAGCGCGGGTTCTCTCTGCTGGTTTTAGGTACGATTTAATAAACACACAGTTTTTGGCGCTCAGCCTGTCTTGACTGCCTCTTTCCTTTTTGCTGCTGCACCGCAGCTCTACAATACTGACGATGGATAACTAAGGGCTGTATTTATATTTGAATATTAAATATGAAGTTCGTTTAAACTACTGTTATTGTCCTGTAGAAATTGAACAATGAATATCAGAGAAAGGAGTAACAAACATGTCAAAGGTGAACAAAATATTATTCCTTGCACGCGTGGATGCCATTATGTTTCTCGCCGTGCGTCATTCCTGAACTATGGCATAACCAGCAACCTCCGGCTAAAGGTGTTTACCGTTTTCCGAAAAAGCACCGAATTGTAGTTTGTCATAAGGAATACATGAATGACTGGGATAGGAAACAGACATATTCATTCTCCATGGCAGACCGCTGTTCAGATGTAGATGTGTTTTACAGAGCAGGAAGAGCGCCAACGAAACCTTGCGACGACTTGATTCACTTAGACGCGCGACAGAAACTCAGCGGCATTCGGGGCACCGGGCATGCTGACAGACCATATAGCGGCAGTATTTTCAATTCGGCCATGTTGTAACACATGCATGGCAATTTCATGACAAAGAGATATAAATAAATTAAATAAAAAGGAACACATGATGGGGTGGTGCTCGGGCGAGAAATTAGGACAGCTGCCAAATGTTTATTGCGGTAAAAAAAAAAAGTCATCGGCTTCCCAAAGGACGATCCCGGCTGGTGGGACCAAGGTGACAGCCTTACCAAATCACTCCACTATGAAAAAAAGACCATCCTCTGCTGCTTTCCTCTCCTCCCCCTCCCCTTTCAGCCCATCCCCCGTCAGCATTGTCTAATCCTCCACCTCGCCATCGGGCTGTATGCTGTTCTGGCGCTGGCACGGTAACTCCGCCTTCCTCCTGCACATTAATGTACTGATCGCGGACAGCCGTGCTGCCCTAACCGGCGGCACATCAGCCCGACGTGCCTAACCTTTGCGGACCTGGACCGTTCAGGATCGGGCGGAGCGCCGCGATGACGGATCGGGTCGTTTGAGAATGAAACCGCGTTTCGCTCGCAGGTGAGCCTTTGTCCGCCCTCCCGCATGCTGCCCAAAGCATTTCACAACACCGCTTTAAATGCCGCTCATTATGGGTTTAGAGGACTTGTTATATAGGTGCGGTAATGTTTATACTGAATAAATGTGAAGTAACCGGGGATACTCGCGATTTCTTCTTAATTTTTCGTTGAGCATTTAAATCGCTGTTTAGTTTTCTTTTATGTGATGTGAGCGATGTGCGGGGTCAGCCGTACAAAACCCGCAAACATGCGGATAAATCCCGCTCCGCTCCCTCTGTTATTCCTGGTTGCTGTTGGGAGCGCTTGTTTCGGGTCGGACTGCCTGCTGGACCTTTTATCCCCCGAACAGTGATAGGAACAGCGGCCATGCGGCTCGGCTTCGGCCGTGGGAGCCGAGAGGGGAACGCGCAGTGTGCCGCTTCCCAGCCGGCTGCCGGGTATCGTTTGGCGTCCAACGGAGGTCAATTTCTCGGTACCAGTCGGTCTTATCTGACTGATACAGCCGGAACGTTATGTAGTATCAGCTTAAAATGTATCAGCGTGATTCTAACAGGCTGTCTCGTTAGGGGCGAGAGGATTTAAGTGCCATCCCAGCAGATGAACACCAAACACTGAGTTAACTTCAGCATGTGCTACACTGCTGTGTCCGTAGCTGGAAAGGGGGGCTTTGACTGGTCTAAGAACTGTATGCAAGCCGCAGATGGTGTATCCAGTGTGGGAGGCGGGGGACTGACTCTGCGTGTCCTGGGGACAGTTTGCGGGAGGTACAGGAATGTCTCCGGCGGTGACCTTAAGCTAAAGATATCCTTGTTACTCCTTATTCATTTTCGACGACAGTGAAGTCTGCTTGTTTCTCACCATCTGCGGTTTTAATTTAGAAACCTCAGCGGGGCTCTTATGGATGTTTGCTGGGACTGTAAGGCATGTCCATTTGGAAGATGTGTTACTGTGTACGTGCCTCTGATCTTTACTTTCAACACGATCCAGTGTACTGCAGTGTGTTTCAGTAACAATGAAAAATGAAGGCCACTCACTCACTATTGGCAAAGCCATCTTGGGTGGTGGGTCCCGGTTTTTCTAGTAAATAATGGTGATCATTTCTGACATGGACTGATGGCAGTCTTATCATACAGGTCAATTTTGATCCAGTGCAGTTACTATTACTGTAAACCTCCACATAGACAGAGTTTTAAGCATTGTACATAAAATTTAACAATTACATTAGTATGCGAGAGTTGTATATTTGCAGCAAGGGTAAGGATTGTGAGTTTAGCTAGGTGAAACATGCTGAGCTAACAGTCTTACTGCAATACTTCTCAGTTGTCGCTAGTGCCCTGTTTTTAAATTATTGCCATTTATTTTATTTTTTTAAACATTTGGTGGTTTTGAGATGGTAATTCCAGCTCTCAGCCAGCTGCAGGTGGAGGTTTTCAGCCTATCCCTGACGGTCCGTGATTTGGCTTAACTCTCGGGGGCTGCTGATGGGAATCGGAGCAGCCTGTCAGCGTGAGGCTTACCTTTCAGTGCTGTGTGTGCGTGCTGAAGCAGGTGGCCGCTTGGGAGGTGGGTCGCCGTGTGCAGGCCAGGCGCGTGACAGCCGCCCGGGCCACCGTGCTCCGCGGCAGCCTGCGTAGCGGAAGGACATCGCACTCTGTGACGCCTCGCTCTGCTGTTCCCGGCACTGACCTGATTTTTTTATTTTTTTTTTACCTCCGTAAAAATACAGTTTCTGGACTGCTGTTTGACTGGCAGAGAATGCTGATTGAGCGATATATGTTGTGTTGTGGTCTTATGGGAAAGTCACCTGGAAATATCAGTAGTGTACATTCCCAGGGTAACCAGACACCTTGCTGCTAGTTGTCTTTACATTTTTTTTTTTCTTTCCATCATTTGAAAGAAATTGCCAAACATTACAATATTTTGCCATATATTTGAAAACTCCCTGGTTGACGTGCCCTGCCATTGGATTGGTTGGGCTTGGGTGACAGTCAAACTGAAAAGCAGTGGTCTCTAACCTTCTCCAAGGTGAGGGCTACTTTTATGAAGAAGGTAATCCGGGGAGCTGCCGCGTCATTGGTGGGGGGCTCAGTAGTGCATGAAGGTGAAGGTCTGATTGCTGTGATTTGACTAAGAATGTCTTTAAGATCGACCTGTCGATTTGCGGCTGACTGGTTGGTCTAAAGCAGGGGCTTGTTGGCTAGAAGAGGGGAGGAAGGTGAGCTGTGAAGGGGATGGACCACAAACCTCATGGCCAGCCTCCAGACACTGTGTCCTGCTGGGTTGGCTTTAAGGAATGTTCTCTAGTTCCAGGCCTTTGCACATCTGTCCCCACCATGGGCTGTGACTCCTGGGCCCTCAGCTTGTCTCGCAGCTGGCAGAAGGCTCGAGCTTCCAAGCTCTCTAGTTACATTTTGTTCACGAAACTTTGCTGGAAAAGACGTCACGATCCATCTGGTACAAACTAAAACTCTGGTGTGTGATACCAGATTCTGACACACGGTGCATGTTGTGAGGCTAATATTTTAAATGATGATCTTGGGAGCGGTTTCATGTTGACAGATATATTTACATGCTAAGTTAGTATGGCTTCTGTCTAGTGCTACGTTGTGAGTCTTTTGTAAGCATGGAAACGACACATAGCAGCTCCACCATGTTTATTTGCTTTGGTGTGTGGTTGTGGTCTTTGATGATGACGACAAAACAGCGGAAGAAGTGAAGTTAGCGGTGCGATGGGAGGGGGCACCTGGCTGGGGAGGGCCTGTGTAACGTGGTGTGAAACACTCCTCTCTAGCTGCCTGCTTCTTTTACCTATTTTCAGGACCTTGTTTATATTTCTGCACTGTCCCCGAACAAATTATACATACATGGAGAGTTTGGTACTATGGAAGCCCATTTACGCCAGTGTGGAAAAGATATACAGTGGTACCTCAGAACTCGAAATTAATCCGTTCAGAACTCCGGATCGAATCCTAAAAAGTTCGAGTTCTAATCGACTTTTCCCCATAAGAAATAATGGAAAACCAATTAATTGGTTCCCGGCCTAAAAAAAATTGCACCGAAATGTTTTTAGCATTTATACTCAATGAACTGGAGAAAACAAGAAAAGCACATACTGCACTAAACACATCTAAGCACATTTATCAAAACAGTAATTTTTAAAGTAAGAAAATAAATGTATCCAAACAATGTGTCATGCCCCGACCGTCCGCTCCTTCCGTGTGCCACGCCCCCTCGTTAACCCCGTGTGGAATCCCCGTGTGATCAGCTCTTTCTGGTTGTCATTAGTCCTCTGTATTCCGTCCGCGTTTCTTTGTTTCCCTAGTCCGGTCATTGTATTTTTCTTCTGCGTTTTGCCTGCCTTACCTGTAATTAAACCCCGCATTCCCCGATACCCTGACGACTGCGCCTTTGTCTCCGTTCTGTCCCCGCTGGGCACGACAATATTATTATAATTAAATCTATTAATGGTTTATTATTAATAAATAATTAAGTAATCTTTTTTTTAATGTATTTTATATAATTACTATCATTGTCTAAATGTATTTTTACTGTCTAAATATATGTATTCAGCTAGTGTAAACATGCACGATGCTATCGCAGCGAATGCGAGGCTGAGATTGAAGCTTTACCGTTTGTTTCCGCTGAGAGACGTGCCGCGTTACTCATTTACCTGCGCGTACAAGTTATCTTAGGTCGGCTTTCACGGCTTTTCACTTTTGAGATTCAGATCGAATTATAGGTAATTTTTTTCGAACTGGTTGGTTCAACTTTTAATCAATTCGAGTTTTAATGAGTTCGAGAACTGAGGTACCACTCAATATATAATTTAAGTTGAAATAACGACTTAGTCATCTCAAAAATAATGACTTGTTATATCGAAATTTCGACTTAGTATCTCAAAATGATGAGAAACTCGCAGTCACGTTTGTGTGCTTTTAAGCAGCTTTTTGGAAAAGACAGATTTGGAATACTGATTTAAGTTAGCTTAACAGTTTGATGAATGGTATATCAAGCACTGTAGTATGTCGCTCTGGATAAGAGCGTCTGCTAAATCCTGTAAATGTGAATTGTGCTGAATGATCTGCTGGCTGATTGAATGAATTACTGAATAAGCTGTGTCCGATTCTTCAGTGGTTGGGTGATGTCTGTTTATTTTTCCTGGGGTTCATTACAGTATTTACTAAGTATTTGAACAAAATGGATATGAGTGAATATGGAATTCCAGGTTGTCTGTACAATAATCACATTAGGTCATATTTGCCTAGTATCGTGACTCAAACTGATGCTGTAATATAACCGTCAATTTAGAGAAGTCGTTATTTTCGTTATTCCGTTTGACGCAAAGGGCACTGCATGAATGCTTAAAATGACTGAAGGCAGAACTAGACTGGAAAAACATGGCATTCTTCTTTTCCCACTGCAGGCAGACACCAGAAGAATGTCTGTACATGTCCTCGCTATGGTGGGGTCAGGAAAGTCACCAGTACTGGTATGCAGCAGGAGTACATAGCAAATGGGTGGTCTGGGATCTGGATTTGTAATGCTGCCACGGCCCCGATTGATGGACAGTACTTGCTTCCATGCGGTCAGTTATGCTGAAGTAATTCTGCCTGAATTACCCCCCCCCCCTGCCGCATGTAACTTGCACACATGTGAGCCGACCACCGTGTCTCTGGAGGACGATGACTTTAACTCCACATACTCCTCTCGAGGGCACTGAACAGATACTATATCGGCTGGGTTTTGGCACACGTGATGACTTCAGCAGGGCATTACGGATACAGAAACCCTGTGGTGCTACTGCTGCCGATGAGAGTTTTAATGCTGTAACCTGAGGGTTCTAGGTTCTAGGCAGGTCTGCACGAGGTGCCGCATTAATATCGACATTGCAGGTAGTGCACAGTTGCACGCTGTCGCATCGCAAGTACTGTAATAGCTAGATTGAGACTAGGCTTGGGCAGTATCTAATTTTTTTTATACCTTCATACCGCCTGGACATCATAACGTGGTAAATGGCATTTTTTGATGGTATTTTGAAAAGTGACGCTGTTGCAGTATTTTGAGATCTTGGCGATAGAATTTCCGCGGGGGGGGCGACGATAAGATTTGCCAGATGGAAATAATCAATGAATTTCACTAGAACATTTTTACTCTAACAGAATGTTTTGATTTTAGCTGTGAATTTTAGGAAACCTAAGCGAGCTTTGCATGAGCTCTGCCTGTGCTCTCCAAGCACAGCCAGCCATAATCATTTTCATCCTTCCTGTTGGACACACTCAGACAGTGTGGCGCATTTGTGAGAAATTCAAAAATTAAGTGAAAAGTAAAAAAGAATTAAGATACCAAAAGACATTCGACTTCCGCTGCATGGAAATATTTTGGATTCCACAGAGACGATATTGAGCTAAAGCAAGTGATCTAGCAGCACAACGCGCAGCTCATACCTAACGTATGCTCACCTGCCATTGGCTTTTCTTGACGTTGGCATTTCCAAATCGGTTGATGTTAAAAACACACTCTTGGAGGTCCTGGAGCTCACATCTCCAGGGTCATGGATTTGAATCCCACCTCAGCTCAGTGTGTGTGGTGCTCACATGTTCCTTGACATTTCCAAGTCAAATCTGTTGATCTGATGGATTGGCGTCGTACCCCAAATGTCCTCTGTAGCCCTGGGACAGGCTCCAGGCTTCTGTGATCCTGACCAAGCTAAGCAGGATGGATGGATTGATGGATGGGAAAACAAGCTCTGATGCCATTTAGCAGCTTCGAAACGCCGTCCTGAGGGAACCCCGGATGGTCCACATTTTTGCTTCCTGCTAGGGAGCAAAAACATGGACTATCTGAGGATCCCTGAGGGCCTAGTTGAGAAGAACTGCTTTAAAAGGCTTTATCAGTAAAAGAAATCAATCTCTTACAGAAAGCGCTTTTTTTGTTTTTAATTAACTCACCACAATAATTTATTCATCACATTCAAGGTTCTATTGACTTTCTCTCACTGCGGAGGAGATGGAGATTTATGACATTAATTTTCATTATTATGGGGCTTTTCTCATTCATTGCTGAATGTCTCTATGTTATTGCTAATGAAGGGATGATTCATTTTGTAAAATCACTGTGCACTTATTAAAGTCCTTTATGTCCCTTGTATAACTGGAGTGGTAAACTTACCCAGGGGTGTCTGGGACATACAGGGTCAGCGCCTGGAGACGGCCATGAAACAGGGCCAGTGTGTTTGCTGCCGTCGGATGATGTTTCAAAAGTCCATGCTGGTCTCTGTTCCTCCCACACTCAACGTCTGTGTCTGGTTCCTCACTGCCTCCAAGCTTGGTCGCTCCCTCCAGAGATCTGAGATTTTGAGATGTTGAATGCGATGATGAACGCATTCTCTCTTTGATGATGGATGTCGTTTCTGACGTGTGGGCTGGCCGGTAGGTCAGCTTTGGGAGGGTGATGGTCACACTAGGCATGTATAGTTAATTGGAAATGCAAGACTGACATTTAGAACCTCTCACAACTTATTCTTGGTCATCTCTGTTAATTCGGATAATACTTTGTGTACGTTACCATTCAAAAATGTTTGTGCCACTTCCATCTCTTTCATAAACTACAGGTTTTTTTATTGTTAAGTATGGGAAAGTTGAGTGAACAACTATAAATGAAAATTTCCTTTACAACCTGGAAAGAGTATGTAACAGTGCACGTCTGACATCCTGTTAACTGGTTGTGTGGTGATGGCAGTCAAATTCTAGGCTGTCCTTTTAACTTTAAATGCACCAGTTAACCGTTTCATCCCATGAAACAGAGCAGTATTTAATGTCCCTTGTAGAAAGAATGCCTCAAATTTGCTCTGCTGTTATAACTGCTAGAGGAGGTTATTTTGATGAATCAAAGATATGACATTTTCTTGCTAATAAATGTATACTCAACTGGTGAACATACTGTAAATTTGTTAGCAAAGAATATTGGGTGTTTTTTTGTGAATATTTAGTAACATGCAAATGTAGAAAATCTCAGTGTGTGCAAAAACTTTTGAATTGTAGTGTAGGTTCATGATTATTACTACGTCGTGTTCAGTGTCAGGCCCTGTCCAACAAACGTTATTTCGTGTTCAGTCAAAGCAAAGCTAGTGGATTGGATCACATGGGCACCGACACTGAGCTTTAAGCTTTAATTGTTCAGCATATCTACAGAAAAGATCTTGTCAGAGAACTATGAGGGCAGTAAAAAAAATCATTCATTAATTAAAATCGAATAATCATGATATCAATCATGATATTTTCTCTCATCGGCCAGCCCTAGGTCACACACTCTCACCTCGGGACCCTGCTTGACACTTATCAAGATTTGAGCCAATTCCGTGTCTGTTTCCCAGCTTTTTGGACCTCCTGCTGAGCTGGGCCTGATTTAATACGTAGCCCCCAGTTACCCTGGCTGAGGGGGCTTGAGCTGGGCAGACCGTGGACACGGACTGTGGCCGTGTGAAGCACAAGAACGCTCCAGGTGAACATTAAATGATCTTTTCTTCACCAGCCTGGCTGTGCTAACGCACAAACACCCATCTCAGACCTTCTGCTGAATGGCACACTTGACATGTTTAGTTACTTGTTTTAGTTTTGTTCTGCGTGTCGTCCTGGGACTGTCCGCCCATCCCAGTTCTGTTGCCCTTCTCTCCTGTCGTGTTTTTCACCTCTTCATAAATGGTTTATTCCATAAATGCCTGTTAATACAGCTGAAAATAGCTAAACTGGTTCTGTTTGAGTACTGACTCAAAGGCATGACAGGTGGGGCCTCTTCTGGATTACTAACAGTCCTGTAATCATATGTGTTTAATGACTCCCTCCTCCTTCCCAGTGGGAGGTAGTTGTCCATGTGGTGAAGGTGCAGGGAATAGGACAGAGGTTCCGTTTGGTGGTGGGGGGGGAGTGGGGAACACCCACGGGCCGTGCCATTGGTCGGAGGGGAGCGGGGAACACCCGCGGGATTTCCTGCTCCACACAGGTCATAATCTTGACTGATTATCTCCCATGTTATTATTTTATATGCCATTTTCATATTTCTCTTGCCTCTGTTGGTTGTATTGTTGTCCATTCTTTTATATAATTAAAATGGCAGCTTTAGTCAAGACCTCCCAATCTAGGACAAGCAGGTGCAGAGGATGGCTGGATGGATGGATGGATGGATGGACCGTTAAAACTCCTTGAGTAGGGACCGGTGCTGCTGAGAACCGCCACAGGTGGAGAAAATGATATTTGTGGTCGAGCCGGAGCAAGACGGCGTGGGAACGGCACGGTATCTTGTTACCAGTAGTGCGTAACGCAATCTGTCTGTCTGGCGGTGACGGCGAATCTGGGGCGGGTGGGGGGTGCGCGTGGCCATTACACGGCTGGTCGCCCTGGGGCTCTTTGATCTTCAGCTCTTATGGACCTTCCTGTGCAGTTCCTCGTGAAATGGTGGATGTGATTTAAACATGGGGACGCTGAATAAGGCACTTCTTCATGCGGAGAGCTTCCTGATGAGTGATTAAGAGCCCAGCTGATATTATCCTTGGGTCTTTAGGTTAATCCATTGTCCTTTTTAATGCCACTGGTGTTTCTTGAATGTCGGTTTACACACGCACACACACACACACACACACACACACACCCTTCTGGGGCTCAGACCTGCTGTCATTATTCTAGTTCTCATTTCTGCTTAACCTTTGGCTTGTTAGGCCCCTCAGTCGATGCGCTGCGTTTTAAAGGCCTGACCGATTTTGTCTGGCTCCCCCACCCAGATGCGGCGTGGAGCTCCTTCCCGAAGTCGCCAGCCCCGTAATTAATATCCCAGGGCAGTGCTTCCCCCCCCCCATCTGTGGACTGAGAGTCTGTGGAATGTGGGAGGCGTGACCACCCTTTGCTGCCACCCCCAAAGTGGACGGTGTCTCTGCATCGCCCCAAAATACTTCTGAAGACATTTTTTGCTACAGTAATCAAAAAGCTGCCAAAAGCCGGTCGCTGTTTTGTCTTGTCTTCCTGACTACAGAACCGGGAAGGGGGGTCCGGTCCCACCCCACCCCCACAAAAAAAAACGTCTTGGGAGTGGGGGGGGTATTCTGAGAGTTTCCCCATGCGCCACGTGTCTGCTGTGACTTTGGCTTCCTGTGCCAGCATATCCGGGTGCCCCCCTCCCCCACAGCTGGCTGCAATCCAGGTCACTTTTCAGCAAGCTTGTGGGGGGGGCTGGTGCTCTGGGGCCCCTCTCTGTCCCCCTGGAGACGAGGCCGTTGGGTTCAAAGCCCCAGGCCCTTGACCTAAAGAGCCAGGACCCCCCCACCTCCCCCCTCTACCATCAAACAACCACCCCCATAAAATGCCAAGGGGTGCTGGGAGGGCCTGTTTTTTTTGCTGTTAGCCCCCCGAAGGTGACAAGCTGCTGGTGACAGGCTGTGTCATGCCACTGTTTTAATCAACAAAGGCACTGATTGAAGCCCAGATCCTGTTTCCTACCGACGTCGTGAGTGACGCCGTCGGCTTGTTTGAGTGGCGAGCGGAATGCGATCATGTCAGGACACTTCATCTGGCTGCTTTACAGCGTTTGAGGGTTGAGCGTGCGCACTGGTGCGGCTCTGCAGGTTCAGCGCGCCAGGCCGGTTGGAGTCCTGGGTCTGTAAACAGAAGGTTGTCGGGTCAGACCCAAGGGTTGACGGTGATGTTACTGCTGGGCTCTTGAGCTTTGGATGAGAGGCCAGTCAAGTCAGTTTTATTTATATAACACAACTGAAATGACAGCAGTTGACTAAAGCGCTGTACGGTTCTCTTAAATAGGTATAATAAATAAATAAATACATAAAATAAACATGAATGAATGGAGAGACAAAAACTCACCGTTTACAAAGCCAAGAGGACAAATAAAATCGTTTCGGAAAGTAGAAGTGGGGTTGATGCCCGGGACCACCAGAGTCTGCCGGTCCTCAGCAAATCCGCAGCGGTGCCTTTATAAATGAGCCGTGAGATACGGTAGATTAGCCAAATGGCTGCGAGGCTTTGGGAGCTCGGCGGACGGCCCAGGCGAGCCCGTCTCCTAGACGATATGGTGATGTGCTGATGGGCCGTAGAGAACAGCCTCCGCATCCTGCCAGCCGTCGGGTAACGCTTGAGGAATCGTGCAGAAGGGGGAGCGTGAGATCTGGGGGATGCTCATTTGAGGAGGGGGGTTCTGCCCGCCCACGCGGCGATTTGAACGCAGCTGATGGAGATGGGATGCCTGCAGGGGGACAGTCTGCTAAGCAACAGGGTGCCTGCAATCTGGCCAAGGCCTGCAGGGGGTGCTGTCCACACACCAGCCTGCCAGCAGGAAGGATTGAGACGGATTTGGGGGTAGCTGAGAGAGAGAGGTTGTACATTTTACTGTGGTGATTCTGCCTTGCAGGCCTAGCCTCCCCGTGTCTCCCACCCCTGAGGCGACCATGAGGTCCAGCATGAAGCACTGGAAGCAGCTGGTTCTGCTGGGAATGTTGGCATGGGCGTTCTTCTTCCTGGCACTCTTCGCCTACTTCTTGGACTCGCACGGCATGGCCGCCGTCTTCCACGTGGAGTCGCAGCGCCTGGCCCCCCCGCAGGGCCGCCCCCGCGCCATCATGGGCTCGCGGCCCCAGTCTGGCCCTGGCGAGGCGAAGAGTCCGGAGGAGACCGAAGGGGGGGCCTACCCAGAGCTCCAGACCCGGGAGTCGCTGCTCGCCATCAACGATTACCCCGAGGGCCTCCGGGCCCAGGATCAGAGCCAGGAGGAGGAGGAAAAGCCGCAGAGGGATATACAGCAGAACTCGCGGACCTTCAAACGCTGGCATCGAGAGAGACACCTGGGGGATTACTACTTCTCCAAGTCCAGGACGGTGCTGCAAGGGCTTTGGAAGGGGTCCATTTCAGCTCAGATGCTGAGCCCCCGGCTGCAGAGTGCTATGAGGGAGTACATGATGGCTAACAAGCACCACGTGGCCTACAGGGGGCGCCGGAACGCAGAGCTCAGGGGCAGCGAGCTGCTATGTGAGCTCAAGAAACGGGTACAGGTCCGGGCCCTGGACGGGCGTGAGGAGCCTTTCTCCCAGCTGGGCTGGGGCAGGCTGGTTCCCATTCGACCTCTGGAGCAGATGTTCGCCTCGAAGTTTCGTACATGTGCGGTGGTGACCTCTGCTGGGGCCATCCTGAACTCTGCCCTGGGAGACGAGATCGGTGAGTGACGGGAACCGCAATGCTTTGCCTCCGGATGTTTCCTGGGGGCAAAGGTCGTATGTGCGTGCGTGCGTGTGTGTGTGGGTGTGTGTGCAGATTTATATATATTATATTGTGGCAGCCCAACAAGGGAAACTCGGTTTCATAAAAACATGTCACTGCGATCAGATAACAACCACCACCACTGTAACTACCGTTCACATACCCTGATACTACTCATATGATATGCGAAGGTGTGTGTGTGTGTGTGTGTGTGTGTGTGTGTGTGTGTACATAAGGTTTTCTCCGAATCCTGTTCTTTCATTAATCACGGTTGTGGTCATGTGACCCTGGCGGCAGACTCTCACGTTCCGAGCTCCTCCAGCTGCTGCTGTTCGTTTGGTGTCGCCCTGCTGACCCTCTGCCATTTCCTGGCCTGTTGTCCATGAACCCCGTTGCATAGATTGTCTGAGCAGTGTGGTTTTTGTGTGGGGGGGTCCCTGGCCTGTAAGCAGCCTGTTATTAAGGGAAATGGTCAAAATTAGGGCTGACATTGTGGTGATGTATGTGGAGTTTGTATGTTCTCCCAATGTTGTCGTGGGGTTTCATCCAGGTTCTCCAGTTTCCCCCTGCACCCCTGGGTTGTTCCCTGCTTTCTGTCCTGCCCATGGGCTCCGGACTTCCTGCGACCCTGAATGGGACAAGCAGTTACAGAAAATGGATGGATGGTCCAAACCGTGCTTAGGCAGCGTCCCACGTGTCTCCTGTAGTCGCTCCATCTCCTCACACCCCTCAGATGGTGTCTTTACCCATCGCACCGAAAGGAGGGATGTGGAAAGTGGAAAAGGCCCCTAGCGCTTCCCGGGGGGGGGATGTGGCCGGGATGTGGCCATGGCTTTGATCCTCCTCCCCCCTTCCTGTTTCTTGCACTCACTGAGGAGCCGCCATGCAGTTTATTTGTCGTCCATTAATTAGCATCTGCAGAGGCGCGGTGCTGCTAATTGGCGCCGGCTGCATTGCCGGCATGTGCAGCTGCCGAGGACTGGCAGCAGTAATCGCCTCGGCTGCCCTGCGGTGGCGGGCACTGGGATTGCCTCGCGTGTCCCTGCGTGTCGTGTCCCTGTCCCTGTCCCTGGCAGTCGCCTGTCCTTGTCTGACCTCTCTGAACTTTAAAAAAGACCAAGAGTCTCGCTCTGCCCCCTCCCACGCAGCCGCCCACACACAGGTGTCCTTGCCTAAAAGGGGGTTCGAGCTCTCGCTCGTGAAAGGTGCATGACGCCAGTGAAGTAGCAGAGGAGTGCTAGCAGGTGTGTGAGAGTGCTAGCAGGTGTGTGAGAGTGCTAGCAGGTGTGTGAGAGTGCTAGCAGGTGTGTGAGAGTGCTAGCAGGTGTGTTTTATGTCCAGATGCATGGACACATTCTGGCTTGTCTGGATTTGTGTTTTTTAAGAGTTTAGGATTGGTTGATTGATAGGGGGATAAAAGTGTGCGTGTGTGTCTGTGTGTGTGTGTGTGTGTGTGTGTGTGCGTCTCATCCTTACAGACGCAACTGTGTCATTACAGGGTATTAAAATAACCTCCAGACTTTACTGCTCTTAAATGAAACCTTTGGCTGTTACACATGCCTTCTACCCATTTTAAAGATTAGTGCCGAAGGGCGGGGGCGATATGTTAAAGAAATATATGCAAAATCATGTACATTATTATGTAAATGATTATATATAGTCATCCAACAGCCCCCCTTCCTACCTATAATCCGCTAAACGGCCGGTATTAACTCACCAGCAAGAGGGAGGCTTGGCCCCCTTGATCATTTTTTTAGTTTCTGTGGAAATCGGTCGATTTATCGGATTTAATTATGATTTAAAACACATCACAGGCTGTTTAAAGCCATCTAAAGCAGCAGTGCACAAACGTACAGTAAAGCCCTTTACACGCAGCATCATTATAACCAGCACACACACACTGATACCTCCGCTTGCCATAGAAGGAATCTGTGTGTCTATTGTGTTTATATTACATTGTTGTGACCAAATGTCCCCCACAATGTAGTTATAACCTGTTATTTTGACATTGTGGGGACAATCTTTCAGGTCCCCACAAAGATCTGTGAATACAATCAAAAAACTAAAAATGCCAAAAGTCTCGTATTTTATTTGGTTATTTATAGTTAAGGTTGGGGCTGGGTAGGGGTTAAGGTCATCATGTTGGGATTAGAATTTTCCCCACAGAAATGAGTGGAGAGTTCCCACAAAGATATAATTACAAACCTGTGTGTGTGTGTGTGTGTGTGTTTGCATGGATTGTCCCCAAAGTGCAGTAAAACCTGAAATTTCTCTGCTTTTGGGGACATCTTTTGAGGTCCCCATTTGGATGACCTCAGTTTTATAAAAATCTGTGAATGCAATCAAAAAAGTAAAAATGCCAAAAGTCTTGTATTTTGGTTGGTTACTTATGGTTAAGCTTAGGTTAAGTTATTGGACTAAAAACACTAAAAGCTGGTCTGCCTCAGACAGCGAACATTGAAATCAGTATACTGCACTATGTACATTAGAATAAACACAAATCAGTGTCGGTTTTTGACTGTGGAAAAACAAACACGGGACGGGACGGGATGGGTGGGAGGGGTGGAGTTCGTTTCAGCTTTGCTGGTGCCGTGTGACTCGGGGCCCATCTGACAGACTCCAGTTGTGACTCGCAGATTCCCATGATGCCGTCCTCCGCTTCAATGCGGCGCCTACGGACGGCTACGAGGACGACGTCGGGAATAAGACCAGCATTCGCATCGTTAACTCTCAGGTGAGATGCTGCGCGCGGATCCTGCATGGAGGGGGGGGGGTCCCAGAGGCCCGCTTGCCCCCCATGTGACGGATTGTCTGAATGCTTTCAGATCCTGGCCAACCCAAAGCACCAGTTTGACACCAGTGCCTTGTACAAGGACGTGGCTTTGGTAGCCTGGGATCCGGCGCCGTATGCGGTGGACCTCGTGAAGGTATGGATCGTGCTCTGCAGCACTGTGGCTTCAGATATCCAGGCTTGTGGCTTTGATTTCCAGCTCCTTTGCTGACAGTTACTGAAAGCTGTTGCTGGCTAAGCCTCACGTACAATGGGCCTCGGGGGATTTTCCAACACTGAATGTCTGCAGGGCTCTGGGCCGGTTCCGCTGCTAGACGGTACTCACCGGGCCTTTTATCCCTGGGCAGTGGTACCAGAACCCTGACTACAACCTGTTCAAGCCCTATGTGGAGCGCCTTAAGACGAAACCCAAGCAGCCCTTCTACATCCTCCACCCCAAGTTCATCTGGCAGATGTGGGACCTCATTCAGGCGAACATGCAGGAGAGCATCCAGCCCAATCCACCATCCTCAGGCTTCATCGGTGAGGGCCTCCCTCTCCCTGTCTCCTTGTTTCATGGCCCTCACAAATTCATCAAGTTTGACGTGTCAGAAATGGGCGGGTCTTCGGTTTGACATTTCTGTGATTGGCTGGCTTGTGTCTCCTAGTGTGCAGTTGGCTAACGTTGTTCTGACTTTTGAGTAACTGCCAGGACTCATTCTAAACCATGTTCCCAGGTGGCTTTAAATCCCGCCCCCTGCCCAGCCCAGCAGGGCAGCAAACCAGTGAACGCTCTGCCCTGTGATGACTGACAAATGAGAAACACGACACGCACTGAAAACGATTATCGCAGAGATCTGTATTGTTGGAAATGAGACTCTCACCTGTAGCATGAGAAAACAGGATTCAGTCCGATATGAGTCACGTGTGTTTGTGTGTGGGTTATGTGTATATTATCTTGTGGGGACCAATGCCCTCACAATGAGATGAAAACCTGTTATTTTGACATTGTGGGGGCCACCTTTTTGGTTCCAAAAAGGGGAAACTCAATTTTATAAAAATCTAACTGCACTCAAGCTAAAAATGCCAAAAGTCTTGTATTTTGTTTGGTTACTAATGGATAAGGTTAGGGCTGGGTAGGGGTTAAGGTTGCCCGTTGCTGGGATTAGGGTTTTTCCCCATAGAAAGGAATGGACGGTCCCTACAAAGATATGAATACAAACATGCATGCGTGCGCAGGTATATTTACAGCAAATGTACGATAAATAAAAGGAGGCCTTTTTCTGACATGTCTCATATAGTAAACAGCCAGGAACTGAGTGTTATTTGTTTAAAAATGAAAAAACGCTGGGAAGAACAGATACGATCCACTTATGACTCATATCGGAGTACGGAATGGCAGCAGGAGCATGTGAAGGGAGATCGTCGGGCATCAGAGAGCGCCCCCTAGAGTCTGGGTGGGTCACAGTGTGCGTGGTGCCAGCTGCAAAGTTATGGTGGGCCCTGCCGTGAGGGAATGCTCATGGTCCCGGACAGTGCTGGGGGGTGGTTGTCCACCAGCTTCCGTTCACAGCAGTAGAGGATCACGAAGCACCAGTAGAGCTAAAAATGAGGGTGGTGGGGGGGGGCATCATTCGATTGACTCCACCCAGAAAGGACCTCTGGGCTGCAAGTGCCAAGGATGCAAAACCTGTAGTGGATCAGCTGAGTACTTCACAGGAAGAGTTTGGGTTTCCTTACTCACGGGTATGACGTCATCCTGCTGGGACTGAACTAGCATCTTATGGTTTGTTTGTGTGTGTGTGGCAGGGATCTTCCTGATGATGGCGCTGTGCGAGAAGGTGCACGTGTACGAGTACATCCCCTCGATGCGGCAGACCGACCTGTGCCACTACTACGAGCAGTACTACGACTCGGCCTGTACGCTGGGCGCCTACCATCCACTGCTCTATGAGAAGGTGCTGGTGGCACGGCTCAACGTCGGCAGCGAGCTCGACCTGCAGCGCAAAGGCAGGATCACGCTGCCCGGATTCAGCACCGTGACCTGTGACCCCTGACCTCCGACCTCCCCTCGACCCAAACTGCTGCAATAACCGCCTCTGTGAGAAGGGGGCGGAGCCAAGGAAGGAGCCACAGTCGCTGCCTTTCTAGCATTCGGGTGGACCGGGCTTTCGACTGTCCCGCCTCGAATCTCGAAAAGGAAACCTTGAATGGATTGTGACACAGTTCTCCAAGAGGGGGCGCTGCCCCCCCTAATCTCTGCGGTAGCTGAGCCTAAAGACACTTAATTATGGGTAGGATAGCAATAGAGCAACCACTGTTACGGCTGTATTGTGGATAACTGGATGTATTTTGCTGTGATTGGCCGTTCTGTTTTATCGGGGTCGGTTTGGGAACCGTTCGCAAGGGGGTCACGTTTGAGTTGACCACAGTTCCCCTCCTTGTGATCGGGGTGGGGTCACAGAGGGACCTAAGTATTCTACTGAATGTTCCATCAGACTTGCCCACACATGCCAATCCAGACACAGCTAAGGGCATGTTGTCATTAAAGAGCCACTTAAATTTGTGGTTTACCTTTTATTTTTTTGTTGTACCACATGGTGTACAAGTGAATCTACTCTGCAACCCCCCCATGCCCCCCCCCCCTTCCATGGCGACATTGCATGAAAGAGCAAAGGCTTTATTTGTACAGCACTTTCAGCCAGGTGCACGCAGGGTTGTGTGAGACACATCGCTGTTCATCCGCATTCCGGTTTGCAGGGCGGGGAAGATTCAGGCCAGATACGGAGCCATGGTCAAGGTGTCACTCCTGCATCTGTCCTGTGACTCAGCACATTGCGTATAGTGCAGATTCGTCCTGGATTGGGGCGCTGCATGGCGGGGGCGGAGGCTGGCGGGGGCGGAGGCTGGCGGTACCTGATCACCGGCCCGTTTTGCCCGGACTATTTAACATGAACTTTAAAGGTACTGAGTGCCCCTTTAATAATCTTTGAGCACCTCTCCCTCAAAAAGTCTCTGAACAGCCCCAGGCAGCACTGTGGGCTGAAATCTCTGGGCCTTGTCGACTCGCTGCGATCAAAGGCGGCTTTTCCACAGATCGCTGACGTTCATCCGCGTGGTTAAAGGTACGGAGCCTTGCTGGGATGCTGGACGGCCCAAATCCTCCACAGTGTTGATCTCTGATCTGTATAATGCAGAATGCTGTATTTTTTTTTTTTTTTTTTTTTTTTTTTTTTTTTTTTTTACCTTGAAACTGTAGCACGTTCAGTTCACCAGACCAGGAGCAATGGTAGTAAACTATCCCAGAGAGTTTAATCCCTCAAATGAAGGCGATTCCCCCCCCCCCCATATCTTGTCATATGTAATCTTTCAAATGAAGGGTGTTTTCTGTCACGTGACCCAGCAGGTATTTCTGCTGTATTTCCTATTTATTCACATGAATAAATTCAGGTGTAATGTCCAAATGTGACCTGTGACTATGAAGCGTCTTTTACGCCCAGAGTTGGGTGACAGCCCCCGCCCCACATCTTCAGCACCGCCCTCAGCACTCCTGGCCCTCAGGGTTCCCACTCATCCTGGAAAACCTAGAAAAAAGTCAATTTTCCAGTCATGGAAAACACATGGAAACTGAGAGGAAAAAGTAAAATGTCCTGGAAAATCTTGTGCTGTCCTGGAAAAATTTCAGCAAACAAATAATACTGCCGTATGCAGTTTTGAATATGTTGACATTTCCATGACTGGAAAGTTTATTGGCTACTTTCCAAGTTCTCCAGGATGAGTGGGAACCAATTGTGTCGGGATAAAAACATTTGATTATACTTTGTTTGTACCAGAATAAAAAGAAAATCAGTGGTATCGGCCGTCCATTTGATTAAAGTGGCTTTAATCTGCTATGTTTTTTGTGAAAGGGGCGGTTTGTATATACTTATAGACTTGACTGGACTTGCCCCTCGAAGCTGAAAACCTGCACTTTAACATGCCCAGAGCAGGTTAGACATGCAGTGTAAATTACCATGACAATAGTACCTGAAACTTGCAACTAAGCCTCAGGAAACCTCGCTAAGCCAGCGAAACCTCTTTGTAGTACAGCTGTCTGTAACGCAGAGAGCAGATGGGCCTGTGTGAGCACAAACGGTGGCCTGTGAGAGGCTATGCATGCCGTCATCTTTCTGGAAATGAAATGGGGAGAAAATGAAATTAAATGAAATGGGGAGAAAATTAAATGAAATGGGGGGGAAAATGAAATGAGGGACCACTTCTTTATTTAGGATAAACCCTTGTGCTCAGTCCTGAACACAGCTGGGGGGTGACAGAGCAGACAGCCGAAAGCCCCCATGTCACGAGCCTTTCCAAGCAGGGAAGCTTGATTCCAGCCCCCACCCCCCTGCTGGCCTTGTGAACATGTGACCTTCCGTCGGTTTTGCTTGACATAAGACATGGTAATTCGGGAGCGATGCTTTTTTGAATGCCACCTCAACCGAACAAAGGTGACGAAGATAAACTTGATGTTTTTCTCGTTTGCTGTGTGACTCTTTGTAGCCTAAACTGTAGAGAATCAAGTTAATCCTCTGTTTTGAATCTTGATTTTAAAATTAAAATCGGCAGCAGCCAATCGAGCGATCACAACTAAGAATTGGAGCCCTTAGTGAAGATACGTTTGGTTCACCAGAACCTGAATCGCCAGCATACAACAAGACAGTGATGCTAATCTCAGATCTGCTCTCAGGCACTGAGAATATCTGACTTGGCAGTCTGCCATCTGAGCTCATGGCTGCTTCCGGTGTTTACTTTATTATGGGAGTGCAACAGGTGAACAGGTTGCCTTCAAAATTACACTCATCCCACTGTGCCTGATCTATTCACACGAGTGTTACTTTGTTATGCTGGCATTGGGGAGTCTGATCTGTGAAGGTACAAAACCAGGTACACGTTTCTAGAATTACCAGGTGTGAGACTACTTTGTTTTACGTAAGATCACGATCACTTTTTTGGGTGTGGAGGGGCGGTAATACGTTTTCTGCACGTTACTTGATTTAGCAGACGTTGAAATAATTAATCCTGAGCAAAAACTCACATAGGAACAGCCTTAAATACTGACAGGTATTAAAACTGCTTTGACGAGTAAGTGAAACTGGACTTTTTTGTTTAGGGAATTTTTCCTTTTGACCAATTTGGTCCTTTTTACATAATTCAATTTGTTTATACAAAACAAAAGCTGGTATAGTTTGTATATGTTGTTTTTTCCCTCACATGTCAGTCCATTGTTTTTTAATATGTAAATAAAGCACTGTACGGTAAACCGTGTCTGGCAAGTATTGTAAACAGGGGTGTAGCTGGTGTAAATGCAGGGTTACACAGCTAGGGGGCGCTCACCCGCTCGTTCAGGAGGATGTAGATCATGGAGATAATGTCAGTGCTGCTTTGGTGGTCCAAAACTGGCTATAACTAGCATAGCACCACGGTGACCACCACAGGCAGGATGTGGTACTGCGCTCTTGCAGATTTTCCCCCACCCGCATTACAGGTTATGAGATGTGCCTCAGCTGGCGATAATGTGGACAGGCTGTGCCACAAAACCACGGTACTTTACCTTAGTGCTAAAGCAAAGAATTATGGGAAGTTCCATCTTGTAGGTGCAATCTGAAAAATGTCCCCTGATGTTGGTTTGTGATGTTGATCCTTCAATTAAGGTGAAATAAATATGCCAGTAAAATTAAATATTCCAGTAAGATTAATGACCCAGTGAGATTTAACAGTTATTTACCGATTCTACGTCACATGTCAAGCAGGACTCCTGATTTTTTTTTTTTTTTTCCAGACTAAACTAGTAGCTCATCTCTGTAAATTATATCTTGGTAGAATATTCTAGATGATAAAAGTAACATACTCCTGTTTTGATAAAATTGATGCCTTCAACCAACTAATTCATGACATTTAAAAGGTTAAACTCATTCATGACAATATTGTTAGATGGCAAAATATACTAAGGAAAATTAATCAAATTTATTTAGCACCATCTAAGTATGACAGTAAAAACATGCTGATGTAGCTGGGATGTAGGAGTTATGTGCGACTGGCTATTTTTTTTTAGGAGTTATTATATGTTATTGGTTGTTTTTTTGCCTCACTCACCTGCTTGAGTGCATACGCCAGCCTGGCATAACTGTAGACCATGGTCAGCACCGACAGAGCGAGGCAGAAGATGAAGAGGCAGATGATGTAGCTCACTGAGCAGTTCACTGAGCAGCTGGTGTCGGCGGCCTTCCAGCCATAGCTGCTCTGTCCAGAAAAGGGAGTATGACTCGGCCCTGGTCACCACCAGGAGAAGCTTGTGGGGGCCGGAGCCACACCTGCTGCAGATGGGTTACAACCAGGGAAATGAGGGACGTGATACCTGGAAGGTCTAATGACGCCAGGACACGGGTTCGACAAATCGCTCATCTTTCTTATAAAGCAGAGGAACCAGAACAATAAGCAGAAGAGCTTATTGGAACTATGGAAAAGGTGGCCCTAGATTGGGAATCCTGCGGAGAAGGTTTGGAGTCATAAAGATCCACAGCATGTTTCCATTTTCTCAGCTTTCATCTAAATATAACACTTAGGAGGTTTGGGAAGCACTTAGTAAACGTATGGGAACCCATCTCCATCCAAGGAGACGTTCTGATCAACTTCACCTTGAAGTGACTGATGCAATAATCCAGCAAGGATGATCAAACTAGTGGCTTAATCTTTGAACATGCAAATCTCCATCTTACTATATTTAATTGCATGAATATTCAGAAATGTCAGCTAGTCCAAAAGATCACAGAAGGATCGTAAGTTATTGGCTTAACTCAGTGTCAGTGAGCAAGAGATGCAGTCTGCGGGAACTCCGGTGACTTTTAATTTAGAGGAAGCCTGTTGATCGCATACAGAAGTAGTTCCTGTTTTGTCATGACCTCTGACCCCTGACCCCACCACGATCATGAAGACATCAAGGAGAAAGCACACCACAAATGATGTTGGCATCAAAAAATATCAACTGAATCTCCTGTATTGTGTGTCTGAGGTATAAAATATTAACTGAGACAAGGCCTTGAGAAAAACTCACTCCCTTAAGACTCGTTAAAATGAGTGAATTACGAGGTCAGTGGACTGAGCTTTGGGAGTCATCTGAAGTACTTGGGGAGATGAGATACTGTGATTCAATACTCAATAACATAATAAATGACAGATAATTTACCCAAATTTGCCTGCAAATTGAGGCAGTGAACTATTAGGTTTTTATCACACTTCACAGTGCTATTCAGGGACTTGTTGCTTGAGCTGAAATGGTTTATAGTTTCCAAATTATAATTTCGCTTAGAAGCAATTTACGAAAATTCATATAAACCAATAAAGAGTCAAAAAACCAGAGAAGCAGAGTGCTGTCTATGGGATGCCCTGTGTGACTCATCTTACTTTTATCCCCCTTTTTTAGGGGAGTCCAGTCTCCAAAGCAGGAGTCGGCGAGTCTGTACCACATGCTGCCCACCCCATCAGCTCAGCTGGCCTCTGGGTCCAGCCAGAACCAGCCAGGCGGTGTTAACTTACAGCATGTGCGGGGGGGGCTGCTGGAGAGTGACTACTTTTCTCCTTCCTCTGCAGTGCATCGTCAAGATTACAAATTAGTCAATAAAGCACCACATGAATGTGCCGCTGTTTATGTTCATTTATTCTCAACATATATTTATGAGCCGATGTTTTATTCACATATCTTGTGAACCTCCGTTTCCATGATGGTAATTGGGTCCCTTGCTCACAGAACTTTTCTCCCAGGGGCTGTTCAGCATTTATGAAGGAGTCTTGCTGAACAAAGGCAGGCGTCACCTTCCAGTTTAGAAGAAGGGAATCCCTTGTAATTCCAGACACATCCCAGGGTAATGAGAGAGTGAGGACCAACAGAGGCCTTCACCAAAGAATCCATGAGTTTGGGGGAGGGGGGGTGTTGCTGCTGACAGTATTCACATACTGGTAATTACAGAAATACAGGTGACATACTGCACCTTCTACCGTTCCTTAGAAAATGAGCACCACACAATTCAGGAGCATGCAAGTTCTGCTCCACTCTTTATGCGACTCTGTGAGAAGTCAGTTGGTTCCTTGTGATCCATCCATCCATTGTTCCATCTGTCCATCCACCCATCATCCATCCATCCATCAATCCGTCTATCTGTCCATCCGTTTTCTATACCCACTTGTACCATGCAGGGTCGTGGTGGTCTGCAGCCGATACCAACCCATCACAGTGATCCCTTGTTATTATTATTATTTTAGATTCCTTTCAATTGTTTTTTCTGTGACAATTAAGAAAAATGGCATGTCATAGGCATGTGATATTTTGAAAGCTGGAAGCACCTCATATCAGGACCTCAGAGAGGTTGCCATGTTGATCTGAATATACAGGGTACACATTTTACAACATTTAATCCACCTGTTTCCCTCCATATGCTGCCAATAAGACTCCTTTCCGTTTGCTGATGCGCACCATGCTGGTCATGTGACCAGCCGCTTGCCGGAGCGAAAGCGTTTGATTATGCATGTTAGTCACCTCAGATGCATTCCAGATCATCACTCTCTGCAGACAACATACTGTTCTAGAGGCAAGTCTGGGCTTTAAAGATGGCAGATAGACCAGTGTAAATGCATCTCTCTGTCGTTCGGTGACTTTGTCACATGGTTAAGGAGCAGATAAAATAACTTAGGGAAGCATTTCTGCTGTTCTTTAGGTTCCATTTTAGTTTTCCTGTTTTTATATCTCCCTGCAGACCAGGATAAGCAGTAGCCGGTTGGCTGAATGGACATTTTTCCATAACATTTTCTTCAGAAGATGACCTACCAGGGGTTATATGTGTGTGGAGACCCTCTGTGCTTTTAATTAGACAGCCTCTGTGATACGCAAACTTGCTAAAAAGCGAATCATTATATGCCAAAATTCATGTTGTTGTGCATTTTGGATTCAAACAGCAGGATCTGGACAGCTGGCTCAATGCAGGATTTTATTTGTGTTCATGCCAACTGGAAGGTTGTAGGGCCTTGTGGTCTCGTTCGACCACGCAGAGAGAACAAGGAGAAACACGATGGTCTCACGGGGACTACTTAAGACAGCAGAGGTTTGTTAATGAACCTGAAGACATCTGCTAATAATGGGAGAGAGCCCAAGTGTCAATTCATGACAGACTTCAATCCGGCTCTCCTGCTGAAATTGACTTGCTTGACATCAAGTTCTGTGAAACCCCCAAAACTGGGTGATGAAGATCTTCAACCTCAGAGGACGCGTATTGGTTGAATCATTGAACCATTTCTCTGATCCTCTTGCCTGACAGCTGAGTACCACTTCATATACACAAACGCCTTTCTTGTTTACACAAGGTTTGCTTCCTGAAATATCGTGTGCCTGCCATAGATTTGCATTAACAATCCTTGGGTCCATGTGTTATTTCTATGTATGAGTGGAAAAAATAGTTTTTTTGCCACAATAATAGGTCAGTCATCAATATTGCGTGGACCTTTGGGCAATACCGTACTTACGCTGAAGTTTATTCAGCCAGCCATTGCTGTAAAATGATGTTTACAAATCCTGACTCCTCTGGCACATCAAGAAGCAGATGAATATCCCATGAAAAACAAGTGTCTCTTTTGAACATATTGATGTTTTTTGATATATTGCTTGTAGTTCAGTTCTATTTAGAGAAAGAGCAAAAATGACAGGCAGCTTTGGAGAGATTAGCAAAGGTCAAAGGGGGGGGGGGGGGGGGGGGGGGGGGGGGGGGGGCGGTGCGGGTGAGGAGGGTTTAGCTGAGAAAATGTATGGAGTAGGGGGATGATAGTCATGCATTCCAGATTAAACTGTGTTTCATTCCAGGGTCTGCCAGTACATTTAGCTTCACTGAGTAACAATTACACAGAGCAATTTAGGAGGATGGTGGGGGGTGGGGGCGGTGGTGGTATATTTTTAAAATGGATGTTCTTTTTTTTCCTTTTCAATTTTTTCCCACATGGAGGGTTACCAATATAAAAGCAAATCATACAAGATATAGCAAGGCAAGGCAAGGCAAGCAATGTGAGGGGAAACTCACAGGTAAGGGCAGGTAAGGGAATTAAGATGTAACTGTTTGATACACAGTGCAGTTGATTCTTTACTGAGGAACCGAAGGAAACAGAAACAGTGACAGAACTACTGCAGGAAATGACCATGTGTTTTGCATTTTTCATCCCTCTCTTTTCCAGGTCTGCATTGTGACAGAAATTCATGCAATCAAAGCCATTGCATTTGAATGA